GATCTCGCAAAAGTCCGTCTTAATTTTTTTTTCTCCCATGTCCTCTGCGGGGCTCCGTAATTTTACAAGTTTTCAGGATTACAAAGTTAAAGCACATCAAAGCACAGCAGTGCTTTGTGCTATAGGTCAATAAAAAGATCGGATTTTCAGAGAGGGTAATGATAGTAAAACAAGTGGTAGTTTTTGTTTTTTCTTAAATAATTCTGTTGTTGTGTGCAAACAGAAATATTTTATCGTGACTCTTGGTTTATTTGCACATAAGCTGACATCGTTATTTCAAACTTTAACCATGTTTAATATGGTCACCTACCACTGTAACAGTACATATACACATAGGGGAAAAATGTAGGAAACACATAAAAGGTCCCATTTAGGTGTGAAAGTCATAGAATTTTAACATAAATTCAACTGAAAAACTCAAATGTAGCTCGAGCTAAAGCTGCCACAAAAAAACACATCAGTCCTGTTCTTCCTCTCCTCGCCCCCAACCGATTGTGGCTGAGCCTGATTCTGCTGGTTTCTTCCTGTTAAAAGGGAGTTTTTCCTTCCCACTTTCAAGTGCTCACAGGGGCTCATTTGATTGTTGGGCTTTTCTCTATATTACTGTAGAGTTTACCTTATAATACAAAGCACCTTAAACAGACTGTTGTTGTGACTTGGCGCTGTATAAATAAAACTGCTGTATTTATAGAACAAGACACATCATTTCATCTCAATTATCTTGATATCATAATTGTTGAAATCAGAATGAAAATGCTTTCACATTCCAAGTTCTACGTCATTTATAATAAGAATAAAGAGTACAGTGGACTTTGGATTTCATTAATTCATTATGTTTCTCATTATCAAGAATCAGAAAGAAGCTTTATTCTCGGGATCATCGAAGAGCGCTGTGATCAGAAGAAGAGTTTTAGTTTTGGGATGAAACTGAATGAGACTGAGGTGGGGAGCCGTGTGTGTTTATGTGTGTGTATGATTACGTGTGACAGCATAAGAGGCCGTGAAGCGGCACTTTAAATCTCAACGCCGGGTTTGCAGAGCGGATCAAGAGCACGATGACAGTTTAGTTCGCGGCTGCGTGGGTGTTGGTGCTTTTGTCAAGTGAAAAGTGTTGTTTTGGCCACAAACACTCAACCATAAACACAAGCTATTGTTTCGCCAGCGCTGCCTTTGTGTTTCATGGAATAGCCGTACAAAAGCAAGCCCACTCATTGCTATTGCTGTTGTTGTTTGATAAAGATTGTTTTGCTCTCATATGCCCAGGACGGTCTTTAGACATTTGTTTTGCTCTCTAAGTAGCACCTCGACTCAATAATTGTGGGGGTCATTCTCAGTAGCACCTCCACCTTTATTGATGCCTTCTATTTAAGACAAATCAATAGAATTTATTGCCCTCCCCGCTGGTCGATCTAATCCTCCAAGTTTCCTTTACTTCTTGGGCTCTGTGCTTCACTGGTTAAATTACAATCCCGCAGGTAATTTCCCATCATTCTCAATGCAAATTGAAATCATTCATTTCTTTCCCCCCAAGTTTGCTCCTATTAAATAACATCCAAGCCTGTCTATAGTGATGAAGCGGTTGCTCAGCGAGGCGTGTGTATTTATTACTGCTGGGCCAAGAAGAATGGCAGGAATAAATAGAGGCTGGGTCTGAAGCTAGGAGGCCGGGCAGCAGAGAGAGGGGAGGATGTTGTTGTAAGTGCCGTGGCTTTATCAGTGAGCCGACAGAAACCCAACCAAAGCAGCGTTAATGCTCCCAAAATTGCTGCCCACTTTTATCTGTCGCCACACATCATGGCTGGAGTGGCTCAAAGTGCTGTTTTAAGAAGCCGGCCCCTCCACCCAGTTTGCGCAGTACGTGTGTGCGTGTGTGCTGGTATGTGCATATCAGCGATTGTGCTGTTTGGGTGTGTTTGTCTGAGGAAGTCTGTTTTAATTTCTGTCTGAGTAATTTTGAGAGGAAAATCATTCTTGTTCTTTCTGCCTTGAGGTTGTATTTTCTGTGGTGTGTGTCCTCCGTGTTAACCTAAGGCCATTCAAAACATAATTTGACAGTTTAATCGAAATCAATATTCCGTCTGATTATAGAAGATTGGTAATCTGTGAACTGTAACCGCTCTCTCTCTGCTGCCTTGGTGCTCATCACTGATTCCAGCACTGTTTCGGCCGGCTCGTGAGCAGTCTGTTGATATTTTAAGTAAAGCAAAAACACAGATTTAGTTTTCTTCTCGTTGACAGTTTGATCGATGGGAGGCAGTGAGGGAAGGGTGTGTTTGTAATGATGGATCACCAGCTGTTACTGGGAGAGAAGTGAGGTGACCGAGTGGGATGAAATAGATGT